TACTATAGCACACTGCAGCACAAGACCAAGTCATCTTGAACCATTGGAGATTGTCGATGATGGCGTCATGATAATAAACGACAACAGAGCCACTATAAAAAACCCAGAAGGAACCGTAACAATAAGTACCGGTACATATTTGATTACGTTTGAAGATGAAATCAGTATTAATGACTCCATATACAAAAACCAGAAGATGGTACTGAAGATGGTACCGACGTCGGCTATATCTACTATAGTTAATATCACAAGTCATCAAGAGATATTGAGCCTGCCGTATCTTCAAAGATTAAATTTTGAAAACTTACAACACATCGATGTCGTGAAGAACAGGACAATAACCGGTCCAGCGGTCTCTGGAGTTTTAAGCATTATTTTAATCATCAGTCTTTATATTTCATTCAAATTGTGTCGAAGACGAACAGTAAAACGCGACGTTATCGAAGCTGTCATTGATAGCTACAAAAGACCCGAGGACGGCCCTTACTTAAGTAGGGGAGGAGTTAACTCAATCTCCATTGTCCCACCCTAATACTTTGGTCAAACGATGGCGAACTATAATAATTGTTCGTCCAACATATTGCAATGCAAGACTCCACACGAGGCACAGTGTCAGCAATTATATTCATCATATATGCTTAGCCAACACCAAACATGCGATCATTTATTCAACGTATTGCAACATAATACTCCACAAAAAGGCGCAGAGTGAGCAGTAGAAAACATTAATTATAAGTTTATTCATAGCTTTAAGTATCTTAATAAGTTAGTTTGATAAGATAACTGGGAAAAAGAAGGTGTAACAACACCATACCCATACTTAACTTATATATATATATATATATATATATATATATATATATATATATATATATATATATATATATATAAGTTAAGTATGGGTATGGTGTTGTTACACCTTCTTTTTCCCAGTTATCTTATCAAACTAACTTATTAAGATATATATATATATATATATATATATATATATATATATATATATATATATATATATATATATATATATATATATATATATATATACATATATATATATATATATATATATATATATATATATATATAGATATATATATATATATATATATATATATATATATATATATATATATATATATATATATATATATATATATATATATATATATATATATATGAGGCCGTTATATGGGGCCATACCAAAACGGGAACCTCTGTGGACAATTTTATACTTCAAGGATTGTCATACAGACGGACAAATCGACTTAGCGACCCGGGCCAGTTTATATATATGTATATATATAGTTTATATATATGTATATATATAGTTTATATATATGTATATATATATATATATATACATATATATAAACTGGCCCGGGTCGCTAAGTCGATTTGTCCGTCTGTATGACAATCCTTGAAGTATAAAATTGTCCACAGAGGTTCCCGTTTTGGTATGGCCCCATATAACGGCCTCATTCACTTTATGGTTTTTTGATAAGTTAACTGCATTATCCAAACAGTCTTACTGGTATATGAAGTTTAAAGTGAAACACGCTTGAATTTAGATACTTACTAAGATGGATGATAGTAATTATTAAATTTTTTTAATTAATTAAATTTTTTTACCTGTTTTTAAAGTAATATGAATTATTTGTCATTGAAATTGCGCGTTGGAGATCCCATAACTTCCATATCTTTTATCATAGTATAATTCAACAAGATTAAACAAATGTCCGGTTCCTTAAATCATATGATGATTATACAAAACGTGATCAGTTTTTGCATGGATGGTTTCTTCCCAAATTACCAACATTTGCCGAAAATAGTATGAAAGTATGGTTAAAATGTAAGATATACTTGAAATCGGGTTGTATCCTTACCCGGGGGTTATGGCCCATATCATGAACTGCAAAAGTGATTTAAGGTATCGTGAAAGTTTAGGAAGAATTTCTGAAAGAATAGAAATCCTTTTCCCTTTATATTCGGTATTTCACTGATTGCAGTCCCAATGAATTTTGCATACTGAGTTCTCATTGGACGGATTATTGTCATGTGATAGAAGTAGGTATGTCCACGTATTGAAATGAGCAGCATTACGTTTGTATTTAAATGTGTTCGTATCTTCCAGCTGAAGCACGATGTAGATCCTGGAGTTGAACGCTAAATGCCAATTTCAGACATGAAAGATCGCCATTTAATATCTTATTGCGTACTATTTCATTTTTGATATTATTCATTCAGAATTCAAAACAATAAAAAATGTACACTTCTATATAGTTTTTAAATTGAAAAAATTTCACGCCAAAAGGATTTTTTCTTTTATATTTTTATTGGCATATTTTACGGAATTTTTTTTGCAAGATTCCATTCCGAAGTTGTATGAATTGTGAAAATCCGTCAAAACGTTCTTGAGTTATAAGCATAGTAACTAATAAACAAATTGAAAAAAATCTTCAACTTGTTCGCTGTTTTTTTACAGCCAATATTTAAAGGTCCTTAGGAAGTTTGGTCCTTACTATTATTTTGAATTATTTATCATAATAATAACTTTCGTCGTTTTCTACTACCCAAAAATATTACACATCATATTAGAATTCAAAAAAAAAAAAAAACACTGCAAATGTACATTCCGAAATAGTAAGTCAAAATGGAAAAAAATCATGCAAAATAAAACATTACTATTGTACACTTCAAAAGTCAAAATAAAAATTTTAAAATTTCACATTTTTACGCGATTTTTTTGGATTTTATCCTTTTCTGCCAAGAGACAATTCCGTATTTGTGTAAATCGTTAAAGTCAGATCAGCGGTTTTTGAGTTATAAGCGTAGTAACTAACACAACTTCCTTATATATAGATAGATCAGAAGTATTCGTGGTCAGTTCCCTAGCGCCCAAACAAGTTCCTAAGTTTGGAGGGAAAGTCAACAGTACCTCGTGGAATAATTTTCAAACCGATATCTTCATTATTCGGCAAATATAAAGATTTTAAATAAATAAATAGTGGGCGTAAAAGTAGGCGTGGTACGACGAACGTTTGTACAAGAAATTATGCAAATCGGTGCAGCCTTTTTCCATTACCAACAAACAACAATTGATTTATATATATATATATATATATATATATATATATATATATATATATATATATATATATATATATATATATATATATATATATATATATATATATATATATATATATATATATTTTTTTTTTTTTTTTTTTTTTTTTTTTGCTAAAAAGGATTTTTGTTCTGTTATTTTTCTCTGTTAACTTTAACAACACTATGTTAACTTTAGCAGTACTCTGTTAACTGCAGAATGGTTTGTGTATTTGCTATGTAGATTCGAATCTATCTTAATGGACATCAAACGAACAACCAACAAACTCCTTCACAGAAGGAGATAGATGACTCAAAAACATATAGCATTTCCCTACGAAACAACAGCTTTAACTTACGAAAAGCAAAACCACAACTACCCCCAAAAATCTCAATACAGTATAAAAAGTGAGCCATTATTAAGGCATGTACCAACTGAAAAGTGGAAATTTTAGATTTGGAAAATATACCAAGAAAAATAAGTATTGAAAGATACATAATTTTTTAGATTTAAAAATATTCGAGAAAAATTAAATGTTAAGCGACCACCAACCATGAATATAAACGAATACAACCATTTAAAATCTAACAAACAGGTGTACGAAAATATAATTGATACTTATATTGAAATTTTAATATTGAAATCGGGGAAAAACTTAATTCATTAACGTGCAAAGAAGATGATTTTTATACCAATATTCGAACTTGGACACTTCACGCTGGTCTTTATTGACGTAGAAAATAAAGTATTCAGTTATTTAGATCCATACGGGGAGACGATGTATGATATTAAGTACCACCTACATATACTGAAAGAAATTTTGAAAAATCAATATAAATAAAGGCGCAAATAGTTTGGGTTAAGTCGCCGTTGTTTAAAAAACATTTTGGCAAACATATATATATATATATATAAACATTTTTACAAATACTATTTGTAAATGAATTTGAAATGTTGTGTTTATATAATGTTGTTTAGTTTTTTTGAGTAATAAATTTAAATATGGAAACTTTTTTGGTAACTTTTCTTTTTTTAATAAGCTTTCCAATGGAACCCATGTTGTACCGGCAGAATTTATCCTTGTAGGAGTAATGGCCGGAATGATTATCCTTACCCCAGGATAATTTCTGAAATGGGTGGATTCAGCGGCATCGGGCAATATTTTGAATCTTTTTATTATTTCTATGGAGAGCACTCTCGATAAGCTTTTCAACGGTATCCATGTTGTCCCGGCAGAATTTATCCTTAAAGGATCAATGAGCATATTACCTACCCAACAGAAGTAACTATCTCGGCCTTATTCGAATAACTTAATGTTGCATTTTTGTGGTAAAAATAATAACAAAGTCAATAAAGATTTATAATTTTTAATTAAATATATTTGTTTTCTAATTAAATTATATTTTTTTTGACTAAAAAAACATTTTTTTAACTCTGTTAACTTCAACAGCACTCTGTTAATTTTAACAGTACTCTGTTAACTGCAGAGTGGTTTGTTTATTTGCTATATACATTCGAATCTATTTTAATAGACATCAAACGAACAACCAACAAACTCCTTCACAAAAGGAGATATATGACTCAAAAAACATATAGCATTTCCCTACGAAACAAGTTTTAACTTACTAAAAACAAAACCACAACTACCCCCAAAAATCTCAATACAGTATAAAAAGTGAGCCATTACTAAGGCATGTACCAACTAAAATTAATTTTCTTAGGCAATACAATATCCAAAAAGTACAACTACATTAAAAAAAAAGTTTACCTTGGACACTAAAGAATTCATGTGCGAAACAAACCAACACATTTCACCGAACTTACAACATCTATAGGCGTCCTATAAATGGAAACGTTTACTGAATCCTCTTGCAAGTTCCCAAAAAAACATAACTTTAGATTAGTATTAGTATTTATTGAGAGACTGTTACAGGACAACCAAGTTACCAACTTATTAACATTAAAATCAATTGATTTAAACAAAATTTGAATGTCATCAGCAAATGCAAACGAATCATTAACATACATGACGAACAATAGACGGCCAAGAACAGATCTCTGTGACACACCACTACTGACTGGAAGAAGACTGGAAACAACATTTTTACAGCAGACATACTGTTTTCTCCCGAACAAGTAAGAAAACATTAACTTACAAGCCGAGGACGAAAAATTTAAGAAAATGTGCAGCTTAGTAATTAAATTGGCGCGATTAATCCTGTCAAACGACTTTTCCCAAATCAAGTGATAATAAAACACAACAATCACCAGCACTGACACAACCAGAAGAGATGTTGTGCTACGATTACATCTAAATCCATTTTAACTCGGGTGCAATAGTGAACGCACTATTCAACTTCATATTTCTCATATTCAACAATTTTAGAAAATTCATCCAATTATCTAAAGTCCTATTTTGAAAATACGCCTTATATGCAGAATCTCTAAGGAAAACATGATAACGAAAGTCTTAAACCAATCACTGTTATTAAACATTGAACACCACAATTTAGTATATTGACCAGTGAGTCAGATCTGAATATGCTAACAAACTCAAATACGACAAAAATAATAATTTAACAAAGAAGTTGAATTATGCGCAACGTCATTATGTGTTGGCATTGAATTATGAACAGCAGATAAATTCAAACGACTACAAACATCACGTACCAATACACTTCGGTTTAAATCAAACATATTATTATTAACGTCCCACATAATGATGACATTGGAATACCTTACCTCTAGGTCAGAAATTTCATCTTCCAAAGCCAAAATATCACCATGAGGCAAATAAACAACTGTTATTAACAACAACCTCACAAAAACATATTCAACATCTCCATAAGAGCTTCCTTTACACACAAGTTTATGACTCATATCATTTACAACACGCAAAACAACACCACCTCCTCTGCTACCAAGTCTATCACTTCTGTAAGAAATAAATAAAAATAATTTTTTAGCATTCACCTTAAATTCACAAATTCGTTATGCAGAACTCTTGAAAACGTATCAGGAATCGATTTTCTTATTGTTACTTTAATGGGCTGTAATCAGAGATCTTCTGGAATGAGTTGGATAAGTTTGGCGGTGCAATTAAAGAAGTGCAGCGTATTGTGCGGGCCTGTATCACACGCCGGGCAGACGCAACGCACATCTTTGTCAATTCGTGCCCAATACGAATTGAGACGACTGCACCATCCTAAACATAATTGCGCCAATTTGTTGGAGGAGTGTCGGCAAAAAAACAAAGGAGGAATCTAAACTGATATAGTGCAAATCCCAAAACACTATGATCTTGTCATTTTATGGATACAATGACATTCAGATATTAAGAGCAATGATTTCGCAGATAACATGACAAAAGAAATGACTGTCAACGATTTGCCCGTTGATCGCAGTGTTGATAAGACATTGCGTCTAGTGCAGGCATTTCAATTTACCGATGAACACGGTGAAGTCTACCCAGCTAACTGGAAGCCCGGACAAAAGACAATGGTCGCCGATCCCAAGAAGTCTCAGGAATATTTTGCTGCCGCTTCGTAAATGTTGTTGCAATAACCGTATACGATGAAGAGGATCAGCATATTCATTAAAAAATATCCAAAACAAAAATACCATAAAACAAGGCAGGCGAAAGACCAACCCGAAGGCTTTCGCATACTGCTATCAACCAGCAACAATAAATCTGTAGATTCCTTATATTTATACGTTTTACTCTGGCAGTTAAAATATTACACATTCCTTAAATACATCATTTCTTTTTCTATACAACTCTCGTATCACACTTGCGCCCATTTGCAGAAACATCTTTAATAAATCTATGTTAAAAAACCAAAAAAAAGCATTGATTAGTACTCATATAGCAGAAATGCCCTGTTTTCTGAATGCATCTTTATAAAACAAAGCAACGCGCAGATAAATCGATTATGTGGCAATTTTCATCCGTTTTTCTTAGACGAGTTAACCTAACTATTCGAAGAATTAGCCTCAATCTTGGCTCACTCAGGGTTGGTAAATGCTTATTTAACCCTCACCAATATTTTGAATATACAATGCCTGCTCGATGTTCTTTCTATGATGACCCTATCACAGTTAAACATAATTTGCTAGAAGTACTCGATTGTTCTTTCTACTAAAGTGTTTTCGTAAAATCTAACTCAGATCCTTTTTGTCTATATATATAGTAAGACTATATTCAACCGGTTAATATAAATCGGATACCCAAATTCATGTAATTTATCAAGAAACTTAATTACAGCTGCGAGACATGGCAATAATGCTGGGTGTCAATGAATCTCATTCACAAAATTAACAATTAAGGGCCCACACAGATACAAGGCATAAGAAAAAAACACGGAATATGGAGAAGAGTTTAAGAATGATATATCAGACTTATTGCTGGCTTATCTCCCTCGTGGTAGTGTTTTGGAGTTTAGAATAATATATCAGACTTATTGGTGCCTTACACCAATTTTTATATAATTAGTGATTTTTAATAGAAATCCGTTTAAGAACAAAGTATTAGTTTTGGTGTGTTACTTCATTATCAGGATGAATGCATCTATTAATCAGGATTGTCTCCCTACGCATTATAGTGCGTAAATTTCTTGTAAGTAATCCAGAATCTGTTGGAATGGTGGTTTTGTTTTTTTGGGAAAGGCAGAAGGTGAGTGTGATTGTCATTCGCTTGTGAATGATCGACCCTTATCGAGCTTGCTTTTCAACAAAGTTGTCATATAAAAAAAACTGAAAAAGCCAAATATTGCAAAGCTGTGAGTTAAGTCCTGTAAACATTGGTCTCTTTAATAGAGAGTAATATGAAGCTAAGCCAAATGGGGTATACTCCAGACTAAAGCAATCATCTGATATTTATCTACAATATAGTTTTTTTTTTGCAAAATAGTTAGGCTTAATTTCATAATTGTTGTTTTCATAAAAACATCGTTTATTTATCAGTGAAGAATGAAGTAATTTTTGCCAGGGGGTAAGGCGGGGATTGCCTTGGTTTCGGGAAGAGCCACGAATTCTCATCAGTTCCCTTGGTTTTTGTCTGGGATTATTCTCACTAAAAGTTATTGTAAAAATAACTCCTATGACAAACAATTGTTTTACCCAAGTGACAAGATCGTAAGCTCAAAAGGAGATTCATCTCGATTTATAACAGTGTAGTGTGATAAGTATTTTTAATTTATTTATAAGTTTTCTACTTGGTATTGAGTGCCCTATTAACACAATGAATTGGCCTTAGGGGCTTTGAATAAAGAAAGTAAGAAAGAAATAATTAAAATAAACTAAAATTTGGTATTGGTATTTCTTCAAAATTTTACAACCGCGCTTATATACATTTTCATCTCTTCCCACCTGCCAAGCTTTGAAAATGTTTATAAGTGTGGTTGTAAGATTTAGAAGAAAATCCAAGTACCAGAGCAACCGGTTATATGTGCGGATTGCCTCGAAGGAAAAAACCTTCGACCAGGGGCCGTCAACCCACCAAATACATGTTTGTGTTCGTCCATTTTTCTGATGGTGGAGCAACATTACCAGGAATGAATCGAGAACAACAACCCTGCACCATGGTTCAGCTCCGTGTGCTATAAGTGCATTCACCACAGATCGGCCTCGGTGATATGCAACGGATACATGGAGTGGGTGCATTTCATTTCATGTATTTTCATACAATTTAATATAAATAAGCCAACATGGCCAAAATCTAATATTAACATACAACAGTATAAAAACAGCCTATAACTATATTAATCTAAAAAAAAAAAACTAAATAAATAACAAAAATTATCAACGAATAGTAATATATATATACAAAAAATAATAATTTAAATTTAGTAGCAATTTAGTAATTAGACCCTCAGACACAACTCCTCTACCAAGCTGAACAACAGTTAAACAAGGCAGAGAGGAAAAAGGCAATAGGCATCAATACACTCAGGCTCTAAAAATTACTAGTTTCCAACCGAGCGAATGTAGCTACTACAAAAATATAAAACAAGTAAAAAAGCACCCTCCACCATTTGGAACGAATTAGAAAATATTCAAAAAATTAAAATCCATTTAAAATTCTGTTAAAATCTTTAAAATACCTAATATCCGAAGGTGCCGATATATGGGGGGATATACGCTATTGTGGACCTGTATAGACAAATCTATGTCTGGGGGTAAAGTACTCACAAGGGACTCCTTGTGTGGATTTTCAGATAATTCCATTGGGAAATGTGGCTAAAATCATCAAAATCCCGAATATCGGGGGTACCGTTATATGGGGGATATACGATATTGTGGACCTATATAGACAAATACCTTTCAGGGGTTAAAGTGCTCACAAAAAATCCTTGTGTAGATTTTCAGAGAATACCATTGGAATATATAGCTAAAATCAACAAAATAACGAATAACGGGGGTACCGTTATATGGGGATATACGATATCTTGGACCTATACAGACAACTCTCTTTCAGGGAGTAAAGTACTCACAAAGAACTCCTTGTGTGGATTATCAGACAATTCCGTTGAAAAATGTGGGTAAAATCATTAAAATATCGAATATTTCATTTTCATTTATTTAATTTATTTATTTATATGTTGCAATGAAAAAGACATTAGGCCAATAAGTATCACAACTATCAAAACTACAAAAGTGTACTCCAAAATAAAAAAAACATCTTAAAAATATTACATAGTGTATCTTAAAGTAACCTAAGAAATCATATGTAAAATATGGACAAAAAGGCTCCCCAGCCAATGAAAATAAATTTAAGTCTATTGCTGGTAATAAAAAAAAACAATATTTAATCAAACGATACAGTATCGTCAATATCATTAACAAACAAATTGTTAACCTCCATTTGCCTCTACAAAGTTTTCAAACATGCGGCGAAAAACACCGCGGGAAAACGAGAATTGTCGTAGCTCAGCTGGAAGCTGATTCCAGATTCGTGCGGAACGAACTATGAAAGATCTTTCATATAGAGACGTAGAAAAATGAGGGAAAATTATTTGCGTATTCCTAGTAGACCGAGAGAACACTAGCCGATCTCGCTGAAAACCAGGAAGATTTAAACAGATACATTTATATAGAAATGAAACCACGCGTTGTTTAACAAAAGTAGAGAATGACACTCCTAAAAAGAGGACTGCATGCGCAGAAATATGGTCAAAACGACGCAAATTATAAACATATCTTACAATGATGTTAAAAAGTTTTTCTAATTTCATTAAATACTCATGTGTTGTACCAGAAATCACTTCAATACAGTAGGAAATTACCGAAAATAACATAGAATGAGCAAGATTTCTCTTTACAAATAAGGGCAAATAGAAATCAGTTGAGTGTAATTTTCGGAGCATATTTATAACTTTGGGGTACAGTGCATCAATATGCAAAGAAAAATCAAGCTTGGTATCAAGAACAACACCTAAACAATTTATGCGGTAAACAAAATCCACCGCTACACCATTAACCTGTATATTAATACCGCTATTCAGTCGGCAAGGTGAACCAAATGTCATTGCTTTTGTCTTAGAAACATTTACTACTAGATTATTATTTCTCAACCAACATGAAATATTACCTAATGTTGTATTTATGGTATTCTCTAGTTGAAAGTCTGATTGACCTTTAAAAAATAAATGAATGTCGTCCGCATACATAAACGGATGACAGTCGCAATTAGTTAGAATGCTACTAATGTCATTGACATATAAAACAAAAAGAAGCGGACCTAAAATTGAACCTTGAGGTACCCCGCTGTAAATATGACGTAAGCTGGATGCCTCGCCATTATATGAAACATATTGAGAACGTCCAGATAAATATGAAACAATTAATTTACAAGAATTACTGTCAAATGCATATAATGAGAACAGCTTCTCAATCAGCATTGAATGATCCACACAATCGAATGCTTTCGAAATATCC